TATCTGACAACAGGATCTAGAACCAGTGACTTTAAGTTTTTATCATCTTACAATGACAACACGCTGCCAGCCGATCAGACTCTGAAGAAAAGCCCAACAGACTTTGAAGATGCCTTTGGAGATCTTGATGGTCTAGAGGTATGAGTTCATTGAACAAAATATTTATTTTACCGACCTAATCCAGTCAAGAGATGACATTTTCATTTCCTTCCCTTGTGTTTATAATCCCTCTGATTCATTGTTCCTTATTTTCTATATTTTAGTATTTTAGTCACTTCAGTGATTAAAGACATTTAATATATTTTACAAAGATGATATGGTTCTTTGTTTTTTAAGGGATAATTCCAGTTTTAGTATTGTTCTGAAAAGTAATTATCCTGGATATATTGTATTTGATTACAGAAAATATTTAAATATGTCATTTAGTAGTTTTTTTACATGAATAACTGGCATAAAATTTTTGCAGCCATGCATAGATCACCACTGATATTCAAGAGAAATAAGTTTTGATTTCTTTCTCTTTTTTACCGTGGAATTTTAACTTTATCAATGCCTTTTTTGCTTCTTTTTAATGATATTCAACAACATTTCACATATAAAGTCCTGATTCAACACTTTCGTCTTTAAATGCATCTTGAAATAAATGGATATGATATCATGCAAAAAAAAACAAAAAAAAACAAACATCAATTGGTGACTTTTCTAAAATATGACACATTGCACTAAACACTAATTTCTATTACCTTTTTTGTCATATGAAACTTAGAACAGAGCTTTTTACTCATTTCCCATCACTTATTCATCTGCTGTCCTCAGTAATGTGTTTTCCTTTGTCACATTGTGAGTACTGACTGCTTCTTAGCGAAATCTACTTTCCACACTTTTCTCTGCGCCGAAAATGGCTTCTTTAACACAGACTCATGGAAGAATATATATTCTTTGGAGGAAAAAAGAGACACATTATATATTATCAGGTCTTGTGAACATTGAGGGTTTGGAACATTTTCATGTTCACAACAACTTAGCAACATTTATATGGTGTTTGCCTTTTGAGTTTTGGTTTTTCGCCGTCTAAAAGTTGATCAAAGATAACATCTAACTTGTATTGCTGATAATGTTAAGTCTTATGTGTTACTTGATGCAATCTCACTTTTCACGTGAGGAATTTGGCTTTGTACTGTGCTGTAGATTGAGAAAGTTCCCTTGATTCTTTGCTTTTTTTACTCTTAAGCTTGTGAGTTTATTTATACTTGAATTCAGAATTAATGAAACAGAAATAATTTTTAATTTTACTGATGTTAGTTAAATCAGAAATATTGGTATTCTATTAGTTATTATTATTTTTTACTCATAAGTATATATATGTAGATGTATCATTTGGATATGTGTGTATATACATATATATATGTGAATATATGTATGTACGCATATGTATATACATGTATGTAAATATACTATGTTTATATCACTACTTAAACCTGAAACACTTCAGTGATTCAATGCAGAGCATTACCAACGTTTTAAAATAAGGACTAACAAACTCTTACAGGTATAGATTTTGTCTCAAACAATTAATAGAACTCACATGCTCTTGAACTGATTTCTTCTTGTCAAAGTGCAATTCACTAAATTAGAAAAAGTAACAGCAACCATGAAAAATAGCTGCTACAGTGTTCGACAGCAAATAAGTTGACACTTTTTGGCCATCAGTTAAACAACTTCAGATTGTTCCATTATCACCAGGAATAAAATCACAAAGGCACTGGGAATATTTTTGTGTACGTGGAATTTTGATAAAAGTTTCTGAAAATAATTTACCAAGTTGAACAGAATGTTTGATATTCGAAGGCAAGTCATTATGTGATGACCCCAAATGAGTCTTCAACAGATCTGAGAGCACATCATACATTTTAGGGAGATGTGTATTTTTTATGGTGCAATATAGTTCGGCTAATTGTTGTTTTTTTTATAGAAAATAACAATAACATATACATGATTCGAAATTACGATGGATATATGATCCTCATGATTATTGGTTTAAACAATATTTTGGGGTAAATTTAGTTCTAACTATTGGTGCTTTTATAATTCTAACTCGCGGTGGCGCTGTACACCAGCCTTCAGATGTGTAAAATGCTCTTCCCGTATTCTGTAGACATGCATTCTGGTTCTCTTTTGTCGGAATAGGGATAAGAAAGACGGAGTTTACAGTTGCTGATATCTTTTGTGGGTTTGCTGCTTAAATAGTTTTTTGCCAATCGTTACCTGTTTGTATCTGCTCGTTCACTATGGATTCGAAAATGCCCTGTGTTCAGACGTGTGGGATTTATTTGTTGCTTCTTTGGTTCCATGCCACATATGGAGACATGGGCTATTCTTTCCCGGAGGAGATGAAGCGAGGATCAGTGATTGGAAAT